TTTATACCTTTCAATATATCTTCTTCCTTGTAATTGTTTAAGTCTTAGCTGTCCTCAAAGTCCTCCTGAATGCCCATCTGAACCATGAACTAGCTGTCCTGGTAGTACCACAGGATATTTGGAATACTATGCCTCTAAACCAAAGCTGTCTATTAGGCAGTTGGCAAGTGCCTATTATCACTCAACAAAGAGTCATAAGAAATATCTTCAGGTTTCAAAGTGAAAAACTCTGAAGTTATTGCCCAGTTTCTACAAGCAGAGCCTAAGACATGTAATGACAGAAATCCTGTCATGTAGTCTATGTCATCACAGATACTGAAGTCCTAATATTGGATACAGATTTGTTGTGACTCACAGTGGCTGGAAATAGTTCTAATGCCTTGTGATTTGTATCTGGCTGTGCTATAGGACTCAAAGCACATGGCATATCTCATCAGGCAATTCACAAGCCCTACAGGAACACTAAACCTGTACAGCCTTCACTTCAACTACCCTCCCATCTTGTCCTTTCATTTCTCAGAACCCTGGTGCCCTGTCCATGTAATATGAACAAATCCAAGTGGGCACCTAGCTTGTATGCTGCAGTGATTTTATAATAATATAAGGAATAAGTTCATCTCCTATACTGACATTACTAATGGGCATTAATTTTTCATTCTTAAGTGGGGGAGAGTGAAGGAGAATAAAGTAATGGTTTAGATTTAATGAATGTACCCTCTCTACAAGTCAAGTATGTTAACAAAGGTAAGTCATAGAAGCTATTAAGAGCCATCCATTGTAGGATAGTTGTAGATAGTTGTAGATAACTGTCATGTACCTGTATTACTAAGGTAATCTTCAAAAAGATCTTAACAAAAATTAGTCTTTCATTCATCATTTCTTACCAGACAGCAAAGATCTTAAGTGAGTTGGCATATCCTATCAAATTCAGAATTCCTCTGGAGAACTTTACTCAATATTTTTTAAGATGGTTTTGCTCCAAGAGGGTTATTTAAAAAAATGTTGTTGTTGTTTTTTTCACATTAGACACATGAGTTTAGATTTCATCTAAGTTAATCCTTGCTTCTTGATAAGCTTGAAATCCAAACTCAATTTGTAAGCAAACATTTAAAAAATTATATAAATGAAGCAAGGGATAATAAATAGTAGGTGCAATAAATAGTAGGTGTTACTATGTAAGTAGGATATAGCTGGGCACTGATCACTTATACCTGTGATCCTAGCTATTCAGATGACTGAGATTGGACTATTATGGTCAAAGCTAGCCTGGGCAGGAAAAGTCCATGACGTTTTAGCTCCAAGTAATCTCCACAAGAAGCAGAAGTGGAGCAGAATAGCTCAGAAACAGCAACACAGGCCCTGAGTTCAAGCCTTAGGGCTGGCACAAAAAAAATAAGAGATAATATATTAACTATTTGAAAAATACATCCTGAGAGAAATTATTTCTATCACAGAAGGGCAGGTGGTTTATATCAAAGGATGTTATAGAAAATGCTAGAGGTCAAACACATTCACTCCCTCCTTCCCCCCACCCTCCACAATCCTCATAGATTGTATCATTAAGACCTAAATATTTTGAACTTCATGTAAAAGTTGTTTTTCTCCATGCAGAACCTCATAGTCTCAAATCATGTTCTATAATTACTTGAATTGATTCTCATTAGAAAAAGTGATATGGGAAACAAATCATAGCCTACATGTAGCTGATGTAGTAATAATTATCTATGCCTCTATGTCAGAGGCATATCATATATGCTAATGAAGCATGAGTACAGAAGAAAAATCAAAGGATGTTTTCTCTCCCTCAACTCTTTAGTTCATCTTTATATCTTCACTCTACGTGTTTATATTTCTTCCATGTCATGATGCATTTAAGTTATTTGCATAAGAGTAGCATAAATCTGTGTGCAAGGTAAAGGGGTTGCTCAAGCATAAAACCTAAAGGCAACCATATTAGAATTTCCCAGCTCACGTCCCCTCCTTTAAATAAATAAAAGTATGTCAATCCCACCATCATATCTAAATTATTATGTCTACTTTGGCCATCACATGCTAACTGTATCAGTGAGAAAACCTTTGAAATATTCAGGGAATCCAAGTTTCACCAAAAATATAAACTGTAACAACACCAACAACAAAAAAACAACACATCTGTACACCTAGTAACACTCATTTAACCCTTCCTTCCTTCCTTTTCTTTCTTCCTCCCCTCCACTTCCCTCCCCTATCCCCTCCCCTCTTCTTCTCTCCTCTCCTGTCTTCTCCTGTCCTCTCTTCTCCTTTCTTCTCCTCTCCTCTCCTCTTCTTTCCACTCATTTCTTCTTAATTTTTTGTAGTGATGAGGTTTGAACTAAAGGCCTAACACTTGCCAAGCAGGCACTCTACCACTTAAGTTACTATAATAGTCTGACATCTATTTCTTAATATGAATATTTTGATATAATACTTCATTTCCAATAATAAATATCTAAAACTGAATATATATTTTTCCTCAAAGTAACACTTCTCTTTGCTAGAACTGCTAAGAGGATACAGGTCCTGCAAATTGTAACATAACTATTTGAAAAACAACATTCAATTCATCTCCTTTACTTGTCCTGAGGGATAGATATCATTTCTCATTGAACCACCATCACAATCACCTTCTTCTCCTAAATGTCATTAAAAGAGCAGATGGTCAGAAATGTGGTTGAGGAGGACTTGACAACAGTGGATTGAAAGCTGTTGATCTCTACCCTTTAGGATGTACCTTGAAATTTCATGACTAATGATCATCTGCATTTTGGGAATAGACATTATTTAACTCATGGAAAGGTTTATAAGGGTTGGCCCATAGGAGCAAGGGCCAAGCCAGGATCAAGCCCTGGCATGCTATTGTAGTTCTAAGCATATCCCAAGGTGCATTCTCTGCTCACACTCCCTATTCACTCCTCCTGAAGGTGTAAATACATGGGATATGTTTTTAAATGGCCATTGTTTCAATCTTGTAAAACTAGTGCTTTTTGTGAAGTGAAAAGATTTTGCAATATGATACCTATTAGTTGGGAATAAGAGACAAAGGATGCAGAAGGTACTGACAGAAGTATCTGAAATCACAAGAATGTTTTACACAAACATCATCCAATGTGAGTATTTCATGTTTTCCACATGCATTATCTAATGTGAATCCTTAAAATGTGGCTAGCCTGAGTGGAGTAATTAAATGTTAAAGTTCAAGTGCTATCTCATTTTTATCAAAATAAGTTTAAAAAATGGGTAGCTTTTTGGAGTTAACAAACTGAGCAAGCATCCAAATGACACTTCACAGTTATCCTTCAAATTTTACAAAGATTCTACCTAATGCTTAATTTTCCCCAGAACTATTCTACAAATATATATATATATATACATATATACATACATATATATGTATTACTTATACACATGAGTATGTGATTGTGAAATCAGTTTAGATTTTACCAGCTGAAACTATTTCAAGCTTAATCTATGGGTTTCTCCATGTTCTCCATGGCTTTACTGAGGGTGAGAAAGAAAAGCAATTAAAGGAGCATGCCATTTTTTTTTACGATATCTACATTATAGTATCTGAAAGACAATCAAAAAAGGAAAAGAAAAGAAACCCATAATGGAGAATGCAAACTACCAATAATAATAAAAGAGAAACAACTTGGAGTGTTTGATGGGGAGGGAAGAAGATGTGGTGGATTAAAGTACACTGATCTTTAATTTCCATTCCCATCAAAATAAGAGGTGCACAGGTCAACAATCAGACAAAGTGGAAAGCTAGCAAATTTTAAAATGAGTTTTTCCAGCATAGGAGACTGCAACCAAAGGACTCAATAATTCTGAAGAGTTGAGAGCCCTTAAACATTATCCACTTCAAATGGTTCCACAAATACATAAGTAATTTGAAACCCAGAGAAAGAAAGTACTCAATGTGCCTTAGATAATAGCCAAGCTTGGGCTTAGATCTCCCAATGTGTATCCTTCCACTGACTGTCTCTCTGCCTCTGCTGAGCACAGACTGACCCTTGAGTAGATAAAGAGACTCATCTCTCGCCCTTGGGGCCCAACCGCTGGTGAACAGAAAATGAAATGTATTTTAACCACAATGCTCGCCTTGACAGAAAAGCTTCTTAACTAACATAGTAGACCTAAAGAATCAAGAAATTTACACAAGTTCACTAAATATGGGGTAGAAAAGAGGTTATAACAGAGGATGGTTTACATGGGAACTATTTTTTTTGTTCCACATGTTTTTGTGACACAAGTGGCAGCTTATACTGTGTTCATAAGTTTTGTGGGTTCAACACTGATAGTTCTGAGTTTCAAAGCCAATGGATACTCAATATGCTTGGATATTTCAGTAGAATGGGAAAAGATAGCAGGTTAAAGAATAACTATGGTTATTTTAAGGAAAAAAAGACAAATGGTTATCCCTTTACAGCAAAAATATGGATGTAAGCAAGCTCAAAGCTCTAGATTTGCAAGAAACAAAACAAAACAGCTCAGGTGCGCTGATTGCAAAGAGAACTAGATTTTTAAGTTTTCTCTAGATTCTTTTGTTATTCTAGAAAGCACAATGATATAGATGACTTTACGTCAGAAAACGGAAAAGTAAGGAACAATTAACCTGCCCATGTCATGGTTTTTGAAAAGTCTGTTATTGTCAATTTGAGTTATATTGTAGATGAAATGTCCCATGGTTTTCTTTGTCATTTCATGGCATACTAATGATAGGAATAAAATCATGTTTCAGGGACTATGCAAAAAAAAAAGATTAGAGAACAAATTTACTTTATTGCCCAAATTTCATCAGCTTGCTTGAGTTCTGAGATAATCTTCTACAGATAAATGCCACACTATTGCTGATAAGAGTGAAAGATAAATAACAGTGCACATTTTAAATGTCACGTACTTTGAATCTTACACCGTGCTCTTATATGTGAATCCATATGAGACAAAGAAAATGCTAAAGAAATGTAGTGCTTGAGGCTTACATTCTGGTGCTGCCAGTCTTGTTGATGATTACAGATTTTCCTGTCTGATCCACATTGTGATCCAATCCAAAGTAAGCTGCCACCCGGTGGACCAGCATCCTCTGATAGGAAGACATCTGGGGGAACTTTTTGTAATGGTTACTGAAACACAGTTAAAAGAAAGAGTGGAGTCAGCACTTTCACTTCTCCGGAGTAAATTTTACAGGTACACACACCACTGTTCTTTTGCATCCAAACCACTAAAGCTCATTGAATTTCAGCTCCCCATTGTCAGATGAAATTTCCACTTGCTATAGATTCATTGATTAAGCTGCAATAAGGGTCATTGTTTCGGAGTCACATATCACTCTTGCCAAAGAGAACTTAGTGTCTATTGAAAAATATTCTGCTTTAATCCATATCACTACATGCACTGAGTCAGGCACAAGACAAATGATGTGATCTAACACATGACTGCAAATGTCTATCTGGAGAGGTGTCATTACCCAGTTTACACCAAAAGCAACACAATTATTTCCAGACATAACTGACGACAGCCAGCCGGAGCTCATAAAAAAAAAACTGTAATAAAAATGAAAAGGGTCGCTTACTGTATGCTAATTAGTGGCCCCCAGTTTATGACCGTTTTGTCAGAAATTTAACAAGCAAGAGCACCACATGATCCAAGTCACAGTTTGCATCAGTGTCCAATTCCCTCCTCCAATACCATCTTCATTTGACCAGTCAAAAATCATATTAAACAATGCTTTATCTGTTCACTCCAGAAGGAATAATGAAACCCAAAATACTAAACTAAGACACATTATAAAGTTTGCCAGCATTGCAATTCACATACTTGGTGTCACCAATGAAATCAATAATTTCCTGCTCCATTTTCAAGAGTATCAGCCTGTCCCTGCAAAACAAATGTTAAAATAAAAGTTTTCAGAGAGTTTACATTTCCCAAGGACTTTAATAATATATTAACTGCCTGGTTGGCTTATTTGTGCTTACAAATATATAGCTAATGTATCTTTGAAAACTGCCAATCATTTATTTGCATATTATTTCTCTATATTCAAGATTATCTTGTCAAGGATTTCATAATTTCTTACTGGTTCTTAAGGCTGTTTATGGCATGCAAGGTATTAGGACTGCAAAGCATGACATATAAAAATATGTTTTAACTTAACTGGAAATTGGAAGGTCAAAGAATTCAAGTATTGATTTTAGATAGTTATGTAAACTATTTGGAGCATCACTGATTGATTTAACCTCAGTCATTTTCGTTCTCATTTTCTTTTTGCTTATTAGCCAATTATCTTTTTATCACCAAGAGAGTAAACCTGGTGTTAACTGGGTGTTAAGGCCACCTGCAAAAAGTAAAATGCAAGCCACTAGTAGGAAATAGAAATGCAGAACATTGTCGCTTTAAGACACACACACACATACACACTATACACACACACACACACACACACACACACACACACACACACACACACACACACACTACACCTGCCTTCTTAGAAGTTGTTTGGATTGATAACTTGGCAAGATTCTATTTGAACCTACTCAAAATAAGGGGCTTAGTTAATAATTTACCTGGAATTATTCTTTAAAGTGTTAATCAGAAACTCGTGTAAGTCTATGCCTGTGGAATCCGTATATTCTTGGCTGCAATCTGCAATAAACAGGATGGAGTTGTCAGGAATGATGGTGGCAAGGTGGGGCAGAAAAGGATTTGTCAATCTTTTTCTTTCTGCTCAGGTTTAAATTTGAGATGAAATGACTGCTATGAACATATTCCTTCCCCCAAACCTGCAACCTGACAGGATAGCAGTAGAATAAAAATGAGTTTGGAGAATTGAAGGGCTCCTAACTGCGGAGACGCCTCCATGTCATCGGAGGGGAAGGGTTCACGCACCGGTGCAGTGTGGGGGTGCAGGCAATGATCACGCATGCTCTCTGCGTTGGAACCAGACAAGCCTTCATGTGACAGGTACTCCCAGCACACGGAGATCTCACAAATTTGAGACCCCACAACACCCGTTTTCTCTTACAACAGAGAAAGTTAAAAAAACAAAAATTCTATTCCAAGAATATCTAAAGATTGACTTCTACAAAACCGAGGAGGGCATAAATACCTCCACGTCTCTCAGACCTCCTGATGTTGGATAAAGCTTGTTTTCTAGCACTGGCTTAATGATCCAAACTGCTTTTCTCTCTGTACACCTTGAGTTTTGCATAGCAGCGTCAGAGACAATCTTACAAGCAGAAATGTAGTTACAGAGTGATACTAAGAGGGACTGTCATTTCTCAACAACTTGACATATGCTGGATTCTTTATCAGATACTTAAAAAAAAAAAACAAAAACAGCCTCTTCCAGGCCATGCACCTAAGGGACTCTTCTTCATGTGAACTTGTTATACTTTGTACAATAATTTGTATGACAACAATTTGATAAGTCTGGACTATAAGCCCATGGATTTAGGAGGAATGTCTCATTTTTTGGAAACTATTTATTGAAGTAGAGTGATACTTTTAAGGGAAACATCAATTTGATCATAGATGTGAATAAGATCAAAGTCTTCCACGTCAGGTAAGATGTCATTCAGACAGCCCATTGGAGTATCCGTCTGTGCTATGGGGACTCTATCACTCATTGAAGGAAAACCATTAACACAAAAAGATGTCTGTTGAGATTGGTTTGGGAATGGGGTGAAATGAGGGAGAGTGATGGAGTAGGTGAATCTGATAAATGTAACTTGTAAGCATGTATGCCCATGCCACAAGGAACCTCCCTTGTACAACTAATTCAGAAGAGTGAAGAAGATGTGGGAAAGCTGCTATTCCAGTTGCCATGTGTCTATTAAGACTTTCAACAATCCGAGTCAACTGTTCTGGATTTGAGAATATATCTATATTACACCCTTTATAGGTACTGGTCATTGGAAAGAAGAGATTTCATTGTGAATCTGAAGAAACATACGTTTCTAAGAACAATCAGTCTGGCTTCATAGATGGACTGTGAGCAGAAAGAAAACCAAGTTCATATCTTTTACACACACACATACTACACACATAAACTTCTTGTGGTGTATGCCAGGAGGTGCAGATTTGGGTACCATCTGGACTGTGATCTGATTTAGGTGTGCCCCAATTGAATACATGAAGAAAACATGATCACATTCACCTTTGGATAACATTCTGATCTTGGGTTTTTCAGAGGTTTTATCTTTGTTTTTATCCTTTTCTTTTTCTCTTTCAGAGTCATCTTTCCTAGATTTATCCTCCTCTTGCAGGCTGGGCAAACTGGAAAGCTGTAAATGAATTGATTCCTGTTGGGGAGAAAATATAATAATTTAGGGCCAGATTTAATCATCTTGATCTGGTTTCCATTTTGCAAAGAGGATATTAAGTACAGGAAAATGAAAGCCAGGAGCAGATTTCTCTCTCTTTTTTCCTTCTTGAATGGTTGAAAAAAGTCAGAAAAATAATTGCCCTGTAAGGTGAATTGAACTTCAGAAGTCAATGCGAGGGCATGAGAAACATCTAGTATTAAAACTTTGCCTCATGAATATTAACTTTAATCAAATTAAATTCCTGTAGATCACAACTAGTATTTTCTCTACAGGTTTATTTTTAATTCCTCTGTCAGCAAGATTACATCAGAGCTACTGTCAGGTCTAAAACAAGACTTCTGTTATAACTCCTAATAAGGAAAAATTGGCAGAAACAAAGATAGACAGATTTTTAAGAACCATAATTACACATAAAACAGACATTAAATCCCCAATAGCAGTTTACAATAAAAACACTATCATAGAACTATGTCAGTGATGATATCTACTACTATCATAAACTAAATGATGTAACAATAGGAATTCCAAGCATGGATTAACGTAATTTGTTTGAGATAGCACTAGCAGATCATTATAAGTTATGGTTAAAATAAGTGCTGCTTTGTAGAAGCAAATTTATTTCTGTTAATTATATATAAATATAGTTTTAAAAAGAATAGTGTCTGTTAACTTGTTCCAAAATAAAAGAATTATCCTGAATTGGTAATATGATTGGTGTAATATCAACCCTTTACAATACTAGAACTGGACTTAACTACTGTGTGCTAAAAAATCATTATTTTATATGAATTCACATGTAATAATCATTTGTTTCCAAATATGTTCATTAGTTTGAAGAAAAATGAGCCAAATGTTTTCTGTGATTTTTTTCTTTTTGAATAAACTATGATATGATTAAAACTATTGAAAAAAATCCTATGCCCATTTGTTCTCATGTAAGAGATCACTTGGTAGGAAAGTCTTAGGCTGTAAGGGCCAAATATTTCCAGTGACTGTGTACCTAAAAGCAAAGCTAGTATGGGATCTCCCTACATGTGACCAGATGCTCACTCTACATATGACATGGGAGCTTGCCTCTCAAGCACTCTCCAAGCAGGGGTTCATAATGATATGGTATAAATTTTGATAATCGAACACATGTAAAACAAAAGTTCTCTGAAGCTACTACCTCTCTTTGTTTGAGAGGGACCCCATTATGAACTTCTGGCTTGAATAGAATCATTAGGTAGAGGGGGGAAAATATGATGTAGAGAATGAGGTAAAACTTGTTCTCATAAATATTTATCTATGCTGTGTTTTATGAATTCTCTGTATTTATCCTGTAGTAGGACATAGCACAAAGTATGTAAAACGGATTGTAATTTGGTGGTGGACTTTTTTATCACATGGTTTGAAGCAGCAAGGTCTTAATCTGCAAGGATTCCCATAGGTTCTGGGGTTAATTGGCTTCTTGTGATCAGGAAATACTGAGCATTGCACACTATGAAGACATAGAAGGGCCTGTGATGAAGTAGAATGAATTTATCAGCTGATGAAGAGGGAAACTCTGGCACTGGGACCATGGTCTCATTCTTTCTTCAAAACCAATGGAACCAACCAGCCTCTGTAAGTTTAAATCTAAAATTGAAGAGGCTGGGAAACATAAATGCAAGAGCACAGGAAAAAGACATCCACTACGCAAAACAAACTGATGTCATGTGTTGACAAATACTGTACTCAGAAAAGAAAGAACAGCTGTATTTTCTATACATAAAAACACATTAATGTGTTGAAAGAACACACAAAAGTGCTTAGAGTTGGTAAAAAACAATCTCTTATTTTTTAATATTTTTATTGATATGCTCAATAATAAAATACAAGTGTTAAAGAAATACATTGGTACAGGATAAGTTTATATCCAACAACAGTAAGAGAATGGTTCAAGTTGCAGAAATACACTGGTAGGCGAGTAATATAACATTAGAAAAGCAAACTTCCTTTCACTCAAGGAGAGACTCAGGTGTGGGTCTGAGATCAAGTAACACAGGCAGAAAGGGTCCCACAGGAAAATGAAGGCAATGCTCCAAATAATGTGGCCATACAAACACCAGGAAAGGGATACGATCCATGTACTGTGCACTTCTGCCACTGTTCTCTGGGATTTAGCCCACATTTTTTTTCTTTTTTCTTTTTGTAAGTGCTGTTGATATCTAATGAAGGCATTGAATCTAAGCTCAAGGACAGGCTGCTTTATTCTCTTAAGAAAGTAGCATAGCCTCTTGATGACATGTGTGTATGGGTGGATATTTTCTGTGAGTCCCATGTTCCCACCATTCCTCAGCTAACCAGAGAAAAGCATGCAGGCTCTAGTTCTCCCTACAAAGCTAGTCTTGTTTCCCAAACTTGGAATCAGCAGCAACAAAGCACCGTTTTCATCTTAGTTCTCTGCACCAATGGTATGGAGAAACTAGACTTAGGTCGAGGATGGGTACTATGATATAGATAATCTCTTATAAAAATTCACCCTATGTCTTGTCAAAGGAGACAAAAATGCAGATTGAGTCCAGAGAAAGCTATCCTACTTTGCTTGGCATTAGAAGTAGGAAACAACTGGGTCATTACTTCTCCCAGAGTCTGTCATTTCTCAGAGTGAACACAGGGCATGTGCAGTACATTACAAGCCATCAATCAACATTTAATAATACAAGCCATGATATTCACATTATTCCCCCCTTTCAATCTCCATTAAAAATAGAAAGCACAAATAAAATGCTGAAGGAAAGCCACACATTTCTCAGAGCCCAAGTAAAATAAAGCATGTATATGAAACAGAGTAATGGCTACTGAATGATAGCCTGTCTGTGCCTTAGGACATGAGTAGCATGTCAAGAAAATGAAGCTAGGAAAAAAAAATACTCTTAGGACAAAAATCTATAAGGAATTTATTTTTGGTCCTTTTAAAGAAAGTGCTCTCAATACTCTCTGAATTGACAAACAGAATTTAGAGGGTTTCAATTAAAGTAAGAAGAGAAACATGAAACAAAAGCAAACACAAATAATGATATCATAATCAATTTTCCCTCCCTTGGGCACAGACAAATCATTTTACAAATAGTCTTGACTGCTCTCAGCCTCTGAGAAAATAAGCAAAATTTCGGCAGCAAGACTATTTTTATAGAAAGTTAATGTGATGCCTAAAAGGCAAATGAAAATAAATAAGATGTGAAGTTTTCCATTTTGTTATGGAAGAGTTTTGTTGGAATTTAAATTTTAGACCCTAAACATCTTTCTGAAAGGAACAAAAATAAATGTAAGGGTATGCAGCAATATATTAGTAATATCAAGCTCAGATTCATTTCTGGACAATATTTTGCAATACCAAGAAACTCCGTCATAAGCCATAAAAGTATTTCTCCAATGTTCAGTGGACCTTATTCGTTATTCCTTTAAGTCTCCTATGAGCCAACTGCTATGTTTCTTATAGGCAAGTGTATTTTGGGGAGTTGAGGTAAGTCATCTCCAAAAAGGAAGGAGATGGGGTAACTTGGGACTTATTTGGTTCAGCCTTATCAAGAGAGAGAGCCTTTGAGGAAGTTCAGCACTACTGTGGTTACTTTTTAAAGTATTAATCTAAATTCTTTTGAATTCCTTCCCATTTGCAGTGTTCAGAGAGTCTGGAAAAAAAACAAACGTAATACTCTGTAATAAACTTCAAAAAAAAAAAAACCTCTTGGAAAATGTCTCATCAATAGAAGATGAAGCAAGTCAATTCTTTCTTCAGTTTGGTATTTTCCCCCTCCAAAACACTGTAGTTAAATGCCCAATGAAGCATCATGCACACAAAGACAACTCCAGCTCATGCAATCAACAATACTGACAGGGGGTATACCTGATCCTGAAGACCTTCACCCCCTGGTCTGGCCGATGACTCCTCACAGACTGCAAGACTCCGGGTCAGTTTACCTTTTCCAGCTCCTGACTGAGGTTGGGGTTGAGAAAAGGGAAGGAATGGAAAATAAAGGCATAAAGAAAAACAAACAGAAAGGGTTCTTGGGCAATCAATCAACTCATCTCCAGGTTCCCAAATCAAAGATTTTTACATCCAGGCTCAAAGACTGATGCTTGCTTCTGTGTCTAGCAAGGCTAAGCATCAGATCTTTTATATTTTGCTGAGGATAGAGGGAAGCAGGATTCTATGGACAAACTGAGGAGACAATTGTAGCTAACTGTGACCATCCCATCGGGGTACATGAAGTATGAGATGATGAGATTTCATGAATATATTAGGAGAAAGAAAATCTGCAAAACTACTTTCCCCTGAAACTAAGTTTGGAGAGGCTTTGACTGGGAAGATGTATGAAAGAATGAAGTAAGTGTGGAGAATAACTGTACTTGTTTACTTCACGACCGGTTTCAGTTACTGAAACTAAAACATCGATTCCAAGTTTTATTTAAAATGAAACAAACCAAGTGGTTCTGTGTTTAGTAAAGCAGCACCAAATCTCCAATAAAAAAAAAAGAGGCTTAGATGTACATATGCACAGCTATTTAGACTCAAAAGAAGCATTTAATTGAGAAGGCAAGATAGTGAGAGAAATCATACAAGTGCAACTCTTGATATCTGAATTGTAAACCCCATGTTGAACTGAGATGAGCAATGAATAGTTTAATAGATGATAGGATCTCAAGAGAGACTCTCAAACCTTACCTTGGATTTTCTTCTCTCTTGGTTCTGAGCTGCCAGCCGCCTCTAGGTTTTAAAAACAAAAGAGAACAAACAGTAAAGCGATGACAGAGACAGAGAGACAGAGAGTGGTATCATGATGTATAGCAGAGAAATCTCTACAACAGCTATCTAAAACTTTTAGCAACTTATTAAACACTTTGAACCTATTAATTTCTAGCTATTTCTCCATACAGCAAACATAGGAAAGGAGCAAAGCTAGCTTTAAAGGGATCATTATGAAGTTGCGAGCCTTATAGCATAAACTACTGCATATAAAAAGAGTTAATACATTTATAGTTTAGTTCATCGAAAATCATCAATACAGCCTGTTTGCAAGTTCTGTTCATATTTCCTCAATCCAATCTTTCCCTTGTAAATTACAGTATAGTTGATCAGGAGCTTTCCCTTCTTCACTGGATCATTCTCAGCCTTCCCTTCCTTCTTTCTGGTATTCTCACTCTATAGGTGGGGTTTCTTAGCCTTAGGTTTCTAGGATAATAAGATTTAGACCTCAGCTTGCTATGAATGTCAACAGAGCTCATGTCTTTGGCATTTCTTAGCTGTGAGTTGAGATTGCACCTTTCCATGAAATAGCAAATCCATTTCTAAAATTCAGATAGCCTAAAGCTACCTCTGACGAATACATAGACAACACCAACTGGCCTAGCAATCCACATGGGAATGCTGTGGGGGGAAATTTGGCAATTAACTATGTTTCATAGATAGTATTCATTTCAAAATGCATTCTATACTGGGATTTAATCTGGGGAAATACTAGTCTTAAGAGGAATACTAGTCTTAAGAGATTTCATAATCATTATTTCAAGTACTTGAACTCCTACAACAACAACAAACTCTTTTGAATGTTCTACAATTAAAGGAAGCAGCATGCAGTGGTTTGACACCCAGGGTCTCTGCAGGCTTACCTGTAGTTCCAGCTTCTCCTCTTCATCCAGACTTTCTGATTTTACTATGCCATTCTCTGGAGCAGCCTCCTGCTCCGTCCTTCCTTCCTCTACTATGGCCTGGTTCAGGTCTCCTTGCTCAGACATTCTCCCAGATGTAACTTAAAATAACAAGGTTTTATGCCCTAGAAGGTTGCAGTATCAGAAAATACAATCAATGCAGGTGAAGTCTTTATTGCTATTCTTGAGACATCTCATTTCTCTCTGTGCATTCAAATTCAAATGAACAGCACAGGCATTGTACCACTTTACACAGAAAGGAGGAGCAAGGCGAGATGAGACACAAGATGCAGGTGCAGTTTCCCATCCACTTCTCAGGCTAACAGGCACACACACTTGTGAATACAACTTCTATCAAAATGGACCAGCAAACCTCTTAGTGGAGACAAATATAACTCCCACCTAACCTCCAGTGCCCACGTCCCATTGCAAAGTAGAATAAGAAAATGAGACTATATCTCTAACTCCTGAACAAATGCCTCTCAAATTCTGAAGCCAGACCTAGTACTGTCGTCTGTAGCATCTCCAAGATGACTCAACAAATATTTTTATGGTTCAACTATAGAAACACTCCCTGAGGTACAAGGCATAGAGCATACTTTTCCAGGTTCAGATCTCAACCAAAGAAACAATAATTCAGTTACAAATTTGGCATCTAATTTTGGCAGTATACCATCCAGGGTCAACGTTTTCAGGCTATAGACTGACAGCTGCATTATTAAAAGCCTAAGCCAGGCTCCTGTCAGCTGTCTTGGCTTCAGGCTCCTGTGGAAGGAAGACCGTGGCTCTGATGAAGCCCTCCTACTGCACTCCATGCTCCTAACCGACTACTATGTGGACTGCAAATGGCTCTTCAGTGTGAAATCCTGTTCTTTTTTTCCCTCCCTACCTCCACTAAACCCTTGATGCCTATTCACTCTCTGGTGTGCTGTCAAATGAGAACCATTAAGAATTTGACATTTATTTCTTCCTCAGTTTTTAAGTGATGTGAAAGAGGGAGAGAGGGAGGAAGGAAGGAAGGAAGGAAGGAAGGAGGGAAGGGAGGAAGGAAGGAAGGAAGGAAGGAAGGAGGGAAGGAAGGAAGGAGGGAGGGATAAAAGGAGAAATGGACAAAGGGAGAAAGGGAGGAAAAAAGTAAAGGAAGAAACGGTTGAAGGGAAAGAGAGAGTGAAGGACACACACACATACAACACACACACAGAATATAGCTCAGAGAGCAGGTTCTTTCACAAACTCAAGTAATGACTTGTTTAATTGTTACAATGGCAATTATTACTGGACAAATCAGTGCTTTGATATGCTTCTCTGAGAGTATTTAATTACAACTGACTAGTTATCTGCTTTTTGAATGGAAATAAGCAAGAGAAAAATCTACACCACAGCAATTTTTATTGGTAATCCACTAAAATCTACCGTGACAGAACAGATGGTATATAATGATCCTTTTGAAGTATATGGGCTCATTTGGCAAAGGATTGTGGGAATGCAAAAAGAAAAGTTTCCCTAAAGAACAGTAGTTCAAGTCTGTAAGTGAGGGAGTGCTTTTCAGGTTGGGAAAGTTTGAAGATCCAGTTCAGTGGCATTCAGTGTGTGTGGTTAACAAAATAGAAAAAAAAAATAAATCTGTTCTCCAAGGACACAGCTTGTTTCTCAGTGTATTGGGTAGGGGGAGGAGAAAGGACTTTTGTCCTTTTTTAGATTTTTTTTAGCTCATTTCAGAAAAGACTAAAAACAAAAACAAAAATCTTTAAACAGATTCGTGACCAGATTTGAAATGGAATTCATTAATTGAGCACCAATTTTCCAAACTACAAGCCAGCCAAGTCCCTCATACAGATCCTGTGCACTCATGGTAGTTTTATTCAGTGATCTATTCTAGGCAAAGAGGTATAATCATGTAAGAAAGAATGAAGCAAGGACAAAGTGGCAGCCAGACAAGACCTTTACCTTTCCCGTAGAGTTCTTGTTGTAGGTCTTGGCGACTTACTAGGCAGCTTCTGTTGCTCCTCGCCGGAAAAATCCACACAAGTGATCCCAGACAACGGGTGTCCCATGTCCCCATTAACAGCTCAGAATACCCATCGCCATGCGGTGCCCTTACACTGTTTGACACATCATCGTCAACCTGAAAAACACACAAAAAGTAAATAATAATCATTGCAACATTCATGGCAGCGCGAAGCACAAGATAAACAAGACAGGGTTTCTAACACTAATGACCAGCTTCCAGCAAATCAAGTTCGTGGCTTGATCCAGCTCCACCTGTCTCAGGGCTGCTTGCTTCTTCTCTAATGAAGGCTACAGCCTGCTGTTCAAGTTAGAGCGGCACCCACGCAAGGAGCTAAAATTAACAATTGCATTATGCACCGAAGATTACTCACTTCAATTTTAACCTTTTTTAGTGAAATCTCGCACTTTGTATTAAAAAAAAATACATAAGCTCGTGTGTTTGCTTCAGTGAGAGTCAAGATCACCTCTGAGCAAAAAAACTTGACTCCTTTTTTTTTTATTTTTAAAACCAAAGCCTTAGTCTTAATTATAGATTAATAGGATACATTTTTAATTCTGTTTCGATGACTACTTTCTTTCTGAGACTTGCCTTCCTGTAGTATCTTTAAAGGCTTTAATTTAATGAAGTGATACCAATAAAGTTTTCTTCTTTCTTTTTTTTTAAAGAGAATAATGAAAAAAGAAAACTTTTGTAATGGCTTGGCTAAGGAAACATTGTTTTCACTCCACTTAGCATTCGGGAAAAATTGCTAATATTCCCATTGCATGATGAACACATCTATCTACACCCCTTCCTTCTCAACAGCACTGCTCTGCCAGCTGGGTATTCTTTTTTGACAGCAAAGAAACCTTGTCATAGGGGTGCAACAGATTTGCTAACTCCAAGCCTGTTGAAAACAATCCATGCTATAACGTGCACTTGCTTTTTCTCGCAACTCCTACAGGAGCAGTGGCAAAGACAGCTTGAATGCAAACATAGAGACGGCCTCCTAATAGCGTTTGCCAACACTAGACTGCAATCCCCTGCCTTTCCCTGGAGTGCTCCTGGGGCACACCCGCTGACTCCTCCAGCTCACACACCTCTTCCTGAGTATCTCCAGCCACGAACAAACTGGCTGCGTTTCAGTTATTTGGTCTAAAGTTTAGAAACCCAAGTGTAATTAAGCATGGCTGGATCCTCACAGGGTTGTTGTTGTTGTTGTTGTTTTTTCCTTGTGGGTTTATTAACAATGTCTTTGGTTGCAAAGCCATTTACTGTGCAAGAGGAAAATGATTTGAAAATACAATCACCTTTACAGTCAATAATTTCTCAATTTAAATCACTTACATTAGTCAATATTTCTGGATTTTTTTTTCAAAATCTTGTATTAAGATCGGTATTTTAGCTGTAAAATCGGGTCATGGGTTGTTAGAAATCATACAATTCTGAAGCATATATGCATTGAGAATTAAATGGATGGCTAATCCACATGATTTCAAGTCCTCAGTTTTGACCAGTTTTCACACAGCGATTGTAACTGACACCTGGTATTAAATAGAAGCCACCATTACTTAAAATTAGTGTCAACTAACAAGCTCATTATCAAATTTGTCTTGGAAAAAAGGTTAGATGAAATGACCGAGGTGAGATTAAAACTACAAAACGTTTTGGGGATTCTGTTTTTCTTCCCCCCTCATTGAACAAAGTTGTCAAAAATAATTGTAACCCTCTTGTGTCACCCCTTTTTTTGCCGTTCATGTTCATGTTTGGACATTGGCCTTGATTCTGGCAGGTGAATGGCAATGCAGTTTCTAGTCCAAGCCTTCCTTAGTACATTATTTCAGCATCAGTAGGAGGATGCAAGATATAATTCTTCCCATGAGGAAAGAACAAACTGGTATTCACGTAACTAGCTCAAAGTGCTAACAGCCTGGATATATGTGTGTGCATAATTACCAGGACACGTTTTGAAATAGCATCGAGCTCTAAAGTCAGAGAAGTATTATTCTTGCCTGCCTGAATCATAAAGTCATCATCCAGCAAGATAAAAGAGACTATGGGCATATGGGAGTGAGCAGAGAGGAACATATGGATCACAAATATTTTAGTAACTGATTAAAATTGTGCTCTTTGCTAGAAGAGCGTTGCCAGGAATCCAGCCTTTTCCTAGCAATCTCCACTGCTGCTCAGGCTCAGTCTCTTCTAAGTCCTCTCATTTTCACACACATAAAAATGAAAATAAAAACCCAGACCATATTCAAGAAGTGCTTTTTTCTGTAGCATTTTGCTAAAAAATTTATCTTACTTTTTATTTTCATAGTTGGAATTTCTCATTATAAGCTTTTTTATAATGAGAAATATTATTTAACCACTTGTTTTAAAATACCATTATTTTAAAATGCCATTGATGGTTGATAAGAGAAGCCATGGGAAATTGATTAACAATATCACCAGCTATTTAGAATAAAGAAAATGAGAAAGATAATTGTTACTTATTTTTATATTTATGTTTTCGATCTTGCTTTGGAGTTGAAAACAATAGCAATTAGAATTTTGGGGATGAATTGGCAAATAAATGAATGGATCTGCAAAGTAATTATAATTATATATAATATGTATAATATAATGTAATATAATATTTTATAATTATAATAATCATAGAGTTAAGTAAAGTAAGTCTCGTATATAGAAGCTATAACTATGTTTATAAATGTACAAGTAAACACATGCAGGGTCGTACACAAGTGTATAAAGTATATTAGCTGAAGCATGGTAGTTACAGAGGAGAGTTCAAACAGTATTATTCCTTAGAAAAGCAAACTCATAATCCAAAAGAAATGAATGCCAGAAAACTGTCACTTGAAAGGTGTGTGTGGGAAGTCATCGAGGGGTAGAGGTTAGATGAATGAAGAGAGAAAGGATGAGAAAAGGGCATAGTCCAGTGCATAGTCTATGAAAAGTGAAGAGAAGAGCTGGGTTGGGAGAGAGGGAATGGAAGAGAATGAATGCTGACATTGGTTAAGATATATTATATAAATAAACTGATTTGTTAAATGGTAACACCTTTGTACAATTATTTAAAGATAATAATATTATAATAAAAAAGAAGTGTGAAGATGAGGGGAAAAAAGTCAAAGGGAAAAGATACATTAAACAACAAATATTGTTCCATTACCACCAATAAATTAACTCTCTCCTAGTTGTGTGTGTGTGTGTATGTGTTTGTGTGTGTGTATGTGTGTTACATATATTGATCACTGTGCTGCCAGGAAGGCAAGTCAAGACCTAGCTTTTACGCAAATTCCTCAAAGATGTAATCCTCAAAGAATCTAAATGGAAATTAAAGTTGAATTCTTCTGTATTCCTTGTGAGAGTCACAATACTAACACTAAAAATTAACATACAAATGCTTAATCTTATCATACCTAAATCAATCTAAATATGGAAGGATAAAACAATACAGCCAAATTTTACTCATCTAGACAATTAAAAAATTTCCTTTCTTGGGGGAGGGAAGGGATAGTGGGAGAGCAACAAAGGAGAGGGTAACAATGCTCAATAAGAAATGTACTCATTGCCTTACTCATGTAACTGTAACCCCTCTCTACAACATCTTTATAATAAAATATAATTTAAAAATTTCTTCTCTACTCATACTACATGACTGGTCACAGCTGTGCAGATAAAAACCTCTTCTATACTGCAGTGACAATGGTAATTGGTTTATTTTCCACTTAAGGTATATAAAGTCTGCGCCATCACCTACAACAGTTATTCTCCTGAGGTTCTACAAAGATTTCTAATATGCAAGGTTATATTTAAAGAGAGTAAAAGAAAAATGGGCTGTGATCCTTGATGAAACCAGAGTAACAATGGCATGAACAGAACTACAGATCAGAAGTTTAACCAAGTCTAACAGTTTCCCAGTGACAAAAAATAAATCATCAAAGAGAAACTTTCACATAAATTTAATTTTTCAAAGAAAGTCTTATTCTCTCATATATGTACAAGAAACATTCAACCAGGAACTTAACATTGTAAGTAAACTCTTGGTCAGCTCAATAGCTAGGCATTCTGGAGTCATCATGAAAAAGGAAAAAAATACATCTAGGAGAAGAACTTGCTATCTGAGAAAAGGGATTTCAGATTAAAGGCTCACTTCTATAATCCTAGTTACTCAGGAGGCTGAGATCTGAAGATCATGGTTCAAAGCCAGCCTGGACAGAAAAGACCCTCTTATCTCCAATTAACTATCAGAAAACAAGAAGTGGTACTGTGGCTCAAAGTGTTATCTTTGAGCAAAAATAGAGCTAAGGGATAGGGCCCAGGCCCTCTTTCAACCCCATGACCAACAACAACAACAAAAAAGAAAAGAAAAGAAAGAAGGCAAAAGGATTTCAGGGTTATGACTTTAGGGAACTGGAGTGCTTTACATATATATTCTTATTTCAGCTTAGTTTAAGAACAGAAAAGCTCAAAAGCTATGTACATATGACCAGACAAGTTGATGCTGTGATATGAACCCCAAGATATGGATACAAGAGGTCTTTCTTTGTTGTTGTTTTTAATGTACTATGTGAGTTTTTTTGTTTCCTTTGTATGTTCTACCCCCTTTGATATATCCCCTTGATTTTGATACCCTGCATCTTGTATATACATTTATCTGATTTGGGGAAGGGAAGGGGAATAACAAAATGCTGAAACAAGGATATAGGACGACCCATTGCAACAATGATACCCACAAGAAACTATGCTGGAAATGAACTTTACAACTTCGGGGGTAGGAGTGAAGGAGATATAGGAGGGAAGGGATAATAGGAGAAAAACAAAGGAGGAGGTAACAATATACTCATTACTTATGTAACTGTAACCCCTCTGTACAGCACCTTTACAATACAATAAAATAAAAGACCCAAGCAGTTTAAAAACAAAGAACTCAAATGAAGAATTGCTCCTTTTTCTGCCCAGTCTGGCTTCAAACTATGATCCTCAGATCTCAGCCTCCTCAGTAGCTAGGATTACTGGTGTGAGCCACCAGCACCTGGCTGAATTTCTCTTTTTCTTCTTTGCACTATCAGAAAATAACCTCTGCCTACATTTAATAAATTCTAACAATGACAAGAATTAATACAAAG